ATTAAAATATTATTCACAGATCCCGAATAACTCGATTCAATTTCAGCACTAATTAATATATATATATATATATATATATATATATAATAAAACAAGAGTGTGTTTGAATTTTATCACAGTCATATTTTTCCCTTCAAAACTATCATCAATCACTTATTTCACCTATCATCTCTTTGTCATACTCAAACGTCAAATCATATCACTCATTTATATCATATATTTAATCATTTATATATTTCATTTCTAAAAATATCACACCACTCATTTCTATCATATATTTAATTATTTAATATTTAATTAATTTGTAGTTAATATATTTTGAACAAATTTAATATAGTGGAATCGATTTTTTGGACGTTCGAATTTTATATTTTATCGTGCCTTTATGACTAGTATATGTATATAGAACAACAAAATTATAATTAATTCTAAACAAATTACTAGTGTTAGAATTTTCTTATAATTTTTATAGTTTCACCCTATAATTTTTTAAGAGCAAGTTATAACTTTTTAAGAGTTTACGATCGATTCTTATAAATTTTGGATCAATTCTAAAATGTTAGGTTCAATGACAAATGTTTAGGATTGATCGTAAAAAACTATAAAATTATAAATGATCCTAAAAAATAATAAAAAAAATTTATGAAATTATATATGATGGTATTGTTTATATCTATATAATAAAACAACTAGGTGTTTGAAATTTTATCTTTTGTTATCCAAAATCATCTCATCACCCATTTCTATCACATGTATAATTATTTAATATTTGATTAATATGTAGTTTAATATAATTTTTATTTCAGATATTATCCATATATGATAGTGTACACATGTTGAAAAAATTTGTTAGATTATATATTTTTGTCGATATTTTTAAAAAATAATGGGTAAAAAAATTTAAATGATGCAAAAATGAAGAAAAAAAATTATTATTTAATATAATAAAATCGATTTTTTGGATGCTCAAATTTTATGTTTAATGGTATATTTAAATACGGATTATAACTAATATATATATAAAGCTAAGAAATTGTGGACCAGTTACTTAAGGACAAATGTTTCTTATTCTGGTCATGGCCTCGACTATACTGTGGTTGACCCACCTGGGTGCTAATGCACATGGCATTGGTGCCTTCACATGAGACCAAGGATTCATCAACCATCGACTCAAACGTCGACCATCCCACATTTTAGTGGGTCTCCGAGGATTGGACTTGACTACGGTGCCAATAAAAAACGTTTGGCATCATAACTTTAAAATTTATTAATAGTTGCGTCAATTAAAGTTAGGTTAATGAAATTATTGAAAAAATTAAAGTAAGATTAATGAAATTATTGAAAAAATGAAAATGAAAAAACTTACTTGAATAAATGTTGATATTCTCTCAAAATCATCGCAAACCTCAAAAATTTACATGATATTCTTTGTTATCTCCATTGGTTATGTCGGTATTTCAAAAAATATTGGTTATATATCGATTTCATTTTTGAGTCTGAACACTTTGTACCTTAACAATAACAATTACTAGTGTACATTTGACAATTTAAGTATAAAAAAAATACCAATTTTTCGAGAAATGTAGTTTCAAGTCTTGGTTGTTAAGTTGATGTGTCAAACCGATCATATGTTTAGTCATTTTAACAAGCATCCTTAGAATCCACATCCGTTTCATCATTTATTAACAAGAATTCCTAAAGTGCTAATTCTATACATGCATTTTAAATAGATAAAAATTATAAAACTGCACCATTTATTTCACAAAATATGATCATTTGATACACATCATAGGTTCAATTCGTCAACCAAAGAGGGGACACAGCACAAAAATTCCAAATATCCACAACCAACTTCCATAGAATAAACAATCATCCACAACAAACTATAAAGAAAAAGTCCACCATACATGAAGAAACAAACACACAAAACCCAAATCAAGAACATAAATACATCTATCAATCTCCTCTTCCTCCTCCAAGTCCACCAGGTCCATCCCTCATAAGTCTAAGAATCTCATCCTGCTTATCTTCAATGTTAAGAACAATGTCTCGTAAAGAGCGTCGGGTGTTGGTGCTGGGGCCTGCCTCTTGGGACTGTTCTCGTAAAGAGTGCTGGGAGCGCCATTGCACGTAAAATATTTTTGTTTGTAATACTAATTTATATTTTAATTTTTTGGGCGCATAAGGGAGACAAATCATAATGGTTATTAACAAAATAGTAAAGGTTATAATGGTCACTAATTCCAGTAAAAACCTAAAGCCTTTTGAAGTATCCCACTTTAATGTGTGGAAGCAAACAATTTAAAAAAGACTTAAAATTGTAACTAAGTGTACACATCGCATCAAACTACTGTTACCTGGAATGCAAATCGCTCCAACATGTGGAATAGCAATGGGTGCAATAGGAATGATGACCACTACTAAATAATGATAAGATGATATGAACACAGGAAAGTGACAACTTGGTGAAGATTACTTTGGAGAAGCTTTTTTGTCCATATTTTAGAGAAGTAGAGGAGGTACTAGTTACATAACATGACGCATATCCTTCTGGTGGCAATGAGAACCACGTCCTACCAAACAAGAACTATTTGATATGATGTTCTGTTTGAAGCCACACAACGAAAAAAGATAACAAAACTAAATAATCAAAGGAAAAGCTTACACAGTATTCAAGTCATCCTAGTTCATTTCTTGTAGTCTCTGTGAAGCAATAGTAGAGAAAGAAAATAGAATATTGTGAATCAACAGTAGAGAAAGAAAATAGAATATTGTGTTTTGTTTCTGAAATACGTGTAGGTGTCTGCAAATGACCATCTTGATGAGGTGTTTGTAAATTTGCATTACAACTAAATTTAAAGACATGTTCTAAGGGTGTTCATGGGCTGGGTTACACACGAATCTTGTTATTCAGCCCGAAAAATTAGGTCCAACGTCTGATATGTCCGATAGTTGACCCGTCCGAACCCAATATTCTAAAAAAGAGGACTTAAGTTTGCCCCCAAATCCATTACCAGGCCTAAAGTCCGGCCCAAGAGCCCGCACATCAAGCTCGGCTCACCAACCATTCCTTTGAAAAAAAATATACTTTTAGACCATTAAATTTAAAACTTTAAAATAAGGCTCCCAATATCAAAATTTAAAGTTTTAAAAATTTAAATATTATAAATAATATTTTCTTTTCTTTTCCATATATTAAACATATAAGTTTTAAATTGTAAAGTAATACAAATGATAGATAAGTTAGTATGTGTCAACCTAACTGAGATTTATTTATTCTATTAAATATAGTTCGTTATTTTATTTTTATTCATTTTAACTTTACTTTTAATTCAAAAATATAATTTACACAAATATTAAGTTATAAAAATATTCATTATTTTTAAATAAAGATATATATAAAAAAAAACGGTAAACAGGCTCCCCTAGTAAGCAAGCTCAATAGGTTCACGGGTTGGATTGCAGGTAGTTTACCCCTATCCGAAGCCTGACCCGACTTGCCCGATAATTCACTTGGATAAGAGTTTGGGCCTACACTACCCAAGCCCATCTCGAAAAAAAATTCGCTGACCTAGCCGACCCCGCCCATGGACACCCCTAGATGATATTCTTAATCAGTTAAGAAACTCAATAAGCCTATAAAATTAAAACTTATAAAAATAAATTTAATGCGCACTTTACTTTCCAAAAATAATTTAATGGCACTAACTTTTGGGTTGTTATATTTAAAATCAATAAGTAATTCAAGTAGACTTTGTAAAAAAATTACTATCACTTAATGAGAGGGCCAAAAGACTCTCAAAGTTCAAGGTTACAATTGAATTTACATTAAAAATTAGGGTTAAAATAGAAAAATAAAAGTTTTACATGTTAAGTAACATTTTATAGTAGTATAGATAGATATCGATAGATAGATATAAATACAGATATAAATCGATTATATATAATTTAATAATGCTATTAACTCCAAAAAAAATATAATAGATAATAATTGTTTTATTGAGGTTATTTTTGTCAAACAAAAATTTTTCACTTTAAGGTACTCCCTCCGTTCGTAAATATCTGTCGTTTTATATAATTTTTTTTGTTCCATAATATCTGTCGTTTAATGAAACCAAAATATAATTAATATTTTTTCTTCCAAATTTACTCTTAACTTTGCAATGCATTAGATTAGGTAGAGGTTAAGTGACTTTTATATTCCTTTCTTTCTCAATACGTATTGAATAAAAATATTTTAGTTTTGTACAATTATATTTTACTCATATTAGAGCTATTTAATAGCTTTCTTAATCCTTGTGCAAAAATCTTAAACGACCGATATTTAGGAATGAAGAGAATACTTTAGAATATATATATATATATATATATAATGGATATTTTTATTATTTTTGTATATTATTTTATAACAAAAAAATTATTATTTTTGTAAGTATTTTTACCACTTTTATTTAATACAAAAAAAATTACTATTTTTGTAAATAAATTTATCACATTTATGAGTATTTTTATCATTATTGTGATAATTTTTTTTACCAGTATTTTGATACTACAATAGTGATAAAAACACCTACAACAGTGATAAAAATATGCACAAATGTAATTAATAAAAGTATGGTATCAAAATTATTTATTTTGGTACTACAGACAACTCCCCGTGGTTTTAACATCTTAAAAGATAACCCTTAAATAAATTTCCATCTCATACCGAACAGTAGGAAAACACTAGAGCACCACTTTCACATTTTCGATACCAAAAAATGTAAAAAGAACCACCAAAAAGTGTAAAATTTTTTCTTTAACTAGTGATAAATTTCACCCAAACTTAAAAGATGAGTGCATCCCAAAAGTTGATAACCTCTACCTAAGACTTCCCACCAAAGCAGAACCATCGTTTAGAAAGGCAACCCTCAACCACGTTAATGTCAATCAGGAGAAGACACAAAACAATGGAAGAGGAAAATTGAAGACGAGCAAGACAACCTGCAACCATATATTAAAAAAAAAAAAAAACTAACTTGAAAAATTGATACAAGAAACCTCCGCCATGAGTGTTTACAACCGGGACTCATTTAGGATTCTCGGTTTTTATAACAACACATATAAACTGCTAAATTAATCAGAAAATCAGAAAGAAAGAGCAAAACACTATGAGGCTGCCTCTGAAAGATAACATGTAAAAAGTGATACTGCATCCTGCAAATGGTATGCGCGCAGATCTTCTGTGATTGGTGCACCAAATATGGTCTCGAAGCAGCTTAACTGACTATCACGTGTTGAACCCTCACCGTTATCAGATACAAGTAAATGGCAAATCTCCTCTGCCATCTTTGAATATGCCACTCTGTAATAAGAATTTGTTAAACAGCTTAGTTATTTCAATGCTAATGGAGGCAAACCACAAACTAAATTAGAGAGACATCAATGTCACAGAAAACTATTAGGAGTGGCTCAAATTGCGAGCATAGGACTAATTTTACAGCACTTGGTAAATGGAACTAAGTATTTGAAGCTAATCCACATACTAGAATATTAAGGGTCATAACAGTAATGGTCCAGTGAAAACTTTGAAGATGCAGTCCACTTTTCTCGTACACCCCCACCCCTGGGGGTGGAATGTAGATTAGAAAAACAAACAGAAAAAAAAAAAATAGATGCCATTAAAAGAAAAGAAAGAGGGCAATATCAAAGTACAATTGATAAGAGTACAATGCAAAGGAAGATCTCAAAGTGCCTCAAATGATGAGGTAATATGAGATCAGGCTGTAAACAACTGTGTTCCCATGCCAGATGTGCACAGACATATCCATAAAAAAATTAACAAAAACAAAAAATTCCATGCATCGTTCTTGTAATAAAGCAAGAGAGATCTAGAGATTTTCTTCCAGATCCACACTGTAAGAAGTCTAAATCGAGTTGATGTTGTGTCAGGTGCACAATGGGATTGTGAGGAAACCATTGTAATCTCTTCAGAAGAGTGGAGGATATGGAGAGAGCAATACAAGTTGTACAATTCAACAACCATATGAACGTATTTCATGGTAATTACCACAGCTTGGAAAAAGAAAATAATAGATCATAAAAACATCTATGAATTTTCAAGGAGACAGAGATATCTTATTTAAGCTGTAAACATGCATGTGTTTATGTATTCTTAACCTAAGAAAAAAAAATAAATATTAACACCTTGCATCAACTGGTAATCTGCCACCCCAAATTGCTAAGGATTCATTTAAACGACCAATGAAGTCTCTGCAACCATCATTTTTGTTTTCAAGGGTATCCTGCCAGAGGTAAGATAGGATTATCAGCCTTCACTAGAAAATACTAATGAATAGCAAGTTCCTAGCAGGACAAATTCAGTTCAGTTAAGAACTACACTTTGAATTCCACCTGTTGTTTGCCAAGGATATCATAAAAATTTATTCTTGGATGCCAAGAGAAATAACATCTCGTAGTTCAAGCACATTATGATTTACAAATGCTCAAAATCAACCTCACAAATTCTACTCCATGAAAACTTTAGGCTTTAAAAAAATTTCCCTGCTAATCAATGTTCACTTGATTGATCAAGAACTGCTCAGAAAACTGGAGCCAGCAATGTCGATCTGAAGACAAAAATCCTATTTCCTTTCTCCAGGCTCTTGTTTACGACTATTAATGAGTATGTTTACCCATTCCCTTTCAGCTGATGTTAATGCTGCTACACAAAGTTTGGAGGGGTACAAAATGAAACAGCAGCCGGTCCAATATGGATGTGAATAAACCAAAATTGAGAAGTTATTGGTTGATTGCGCCTAGAAGTATGCATGCATTATATTTTTATTCAGTCTCCAGCTCCAGTCAGGTACATGCTCAATTACAGCACTTTGTAACAATAACCTCAACAACGCTTCTCTGAGACCAATTTTATTTTACTGCTACTGTAAATGAAAAGTGCCAGCTAGCAAAATAGCCCACTATTTATGACTACAACTACGACATATTTAGAAGGATTTTCGTACCAGCTCACTCATTGTATTGTTATCTTCCTGCAAGGAACTTCTTAATAGATAAAAAGAAATATAAATGCCAGCTCCCAAATCCCAGTCTTCAATTTCTGACTTGTGGTCTTCCATGGAAGTTGCAAGCCTCCATATCTCGGAGTGTTTGGCTGCATGACGAGGAGGTTGATAAAATCAGTATTGTCCTAACCCGTTTCCAATAAATATACGATTTAAGGTAAACTAACTGCTAATCCAGAATACATTACAGCAATCACACAGTTTTTAACTTGCAGATGTCTATATAGGCCCACAAAATTTTAGGCATTAGTTTCGTATTGTGAGATTTATAGAATAACAAATAGGTATCAGTGCAGTCCCAAGACCAGCACAACAAGAAGGCAATGGAAATATATGTGGCACAAAAAATATATGGTAGCTTTTACCTGACAAAAACAACGAATGAGCAACTGAAATAATGAAAATTGAATGTGCTTTTTGCCAATTTGCACATTCAATAAAGTGTTCAAGAGCCTTCAACATATTGCCATGGTAATTAAAATATACTGCCTGCAATTACACAGAACACAATGTCCTCAGTCAATAAAAAGATGTTTAATTAAAAAAGGAAAGAGCTCTACTTTAGTATCAATGACGGTAATAATTGGAAGCAGACAACAGTTGATCAAGATGTCCAGAAAAAGCCCCAGTTTACGGTGACACACAGTTCCAAATGGAACTAATTAAGAAGTGACCAAAAGGTTGGTGCAGTGAATGTCAACAGCCCCCAGCTTTGCAAATCAAATTAACATGAACAAGCAAAGATACACCAAACGGCGGCAAAACGGAAGGATTGATCCATGTAGAATTATGATGAGAGAAAAACCGACTCACCAGAGCCTCATGCAGCCATTCTGAAGGAATGCCCAAGTCTCCTATAAATTTACGCTGCAGTTCTTGAGCACTCCAAACTTCACAGTATTGAAACAAGATTTCCCTGATAAGATTAGTGTGCAGATAAGGATAATCGTCACGGTGGGGCATGTGAAGCACCACATAGATGGCCCAATGGCATTGCCCTAGACAAAGCAACTGCGAAATATACCCCAAGTCAAGAACATGAAGATCATTAGAGCTGAAAGCACCAACTGCTTCCAACACTGCACGCTGATGCCAAATCATATGGTAGTCAAGTGCATCAGGCGTTGAGGAAAGTGTACTGAACATGGTCTTCAAAGCACCAAATTTGTTTCCTTCACTGGCATGAAGAAGCATAAGATAATATGCAAGGTCAAAGCGTTCATCTGCATTCCAATTTACAGCCTCTTCTACCGGTCCTTCGTCAATGTAAACAGCAACTGGATATGGAGCCCTTCCATGATCAAGAAGCTGCTGATAAGTGCGAAAAATAATCGTCAATGAAGTGTCAGGTGGCAGCTGATACCACATCAACAATCCTAAGAACCTTTTCCAGTCGACATTTATGTCATGCAAAGCACCACGAATGTTACCAGCAAGCAACTCCAAAATTCTTATCCTGTCATCCTCAATAAAATTGAAGTCCATCCCATTGATTCTCCAAAGATCAAGCTGCCGAGCAACATCAGAACGATTCACTGGGGATCCACCAGCCTGGCTCAATAGACAAGCCAGTCTCACATCTCCTCTAGAAGCAGCCAGCTCCACAGCTGCATCCAGCTGTCGTCCTGTTAGGTATAAGAATATGTGTTTTAAATCACTTGATTCATTCAATGAGCTAACTTCATGTTGTACCCGGTGACAAACACACTCTTGTAACCAATAACTGAACTCTGCTCTCCGAATTAACGGAAGTGCTTCCTGGTCAACGTCCGGAGCACTTTCCCTCATATCTGGCATCATGTCTTCCTCATTGTCAGCTTCCACTGACTTTAATTGTCCACTAATTTCCCTTACGGAGAACAGAACTTTTAGTAGTTCCCAGACCATTACTTGGTGCATCAATATGATACGAGAAGAAGAGGATAACCCAGGAACCTCCAGTTGCCTCTCAACAATTCTTATATAGCTCCGACATATCTCTGAAAGCATTACACGATCACAAACAAGGGTTTGCAGCTTTAGTTTGAAAGAACCCACTCCAACTTCTTTTGTTTCATGATTTATTTCCTTGTGAAGATTTAAAGGGGAATCAAAACAAAATTCTGTAAGTTCCTCTCTGACTTTGTTATTTTCATCTCTGACCACTTTGTCAATTGCAACCTTTTCTAAAGTGATCACGGAAGATAACACCCTCTGAGAGTCATTGCTACCAACAGGTGCACCAGTGTGAACAAGGACACCATTAGGACCCCACCCTACACGGAAGGACCTACCCATGAATAACGCTGCATCAACTATGTTGCAGGAATGGCTCCCAGTTACTGGTGTTTCCTGCTTGAGGTCCAGCTTAAAACCTTCTACTTTTATCATCTTTGAAGGCAAGCCCCTACTTTGTTGGGTCATCAAAATGGATCCAGGAGAGCTTGAGCCAAAATTACCAGGGTTGTACTCAAGCAAAGCTAGTGGGGTCTTTCGAGTCACTGGTGGACTAATTCTATGAACTGTCATCCGGGAGATATGTTGCAGTGGGGATCTTGACGATTCTTTTCTATAAGGTAGTCTCTGTTGTGAAAGCATGCCATTGAAGTTCTCAGCCTCCTCTTCATCTGCAGGAAACATCAACATTCTCATTTCATTCATCTTGACAGGATCAAGCCCAAGATGAGCAGGAAGAGAATGAGAAAGCAGAATTGGATCCACTATGGCATTTTCTTCATCAATCTCGGAAACATTACTGCCATTCATCTCCACAGTGTTTTGAACTTCTGGAGCCACATCATCCATTGCAATATCTTCTTCATCATCTTCGCTCAAACCAAATCTGCTAAAATGGTGAACTAAGAATTTCCATTCACCATTTGATGGGTCAAATGAAATAAAGTGTGCTCCCTGTTTTTCTGTTATGAGCCTCAGTTTCCTCACCATTTCCCTCAGTTGATCTCCTCTATAATTTACTGAGGATCTTATTTGCAGCATCAAGGTTACTTCGGCTGCCTTGTTAAGGCCCTGGCCCACCACGGGCTTGACACTTTCATCTCCATATACAACTAACTCATGCCTATCAAACTTGATAATTTGATCTAAATCCAAACATCTAACATCAGTCTTGTCCACAAATTTGACGCATCCGTAACCATTTCGTCCCACTGTAAAATCTGGAACTCGGCTGCAATAACCAGGATACATGACTTCTCGAGTGGCCAATTCACTCAAGCTAGGTTCCATATAATAATCAGACAATCGCAAAGTAGGTAAGGAAGCTTCACTCTCAAACAAAACCACACCTGATGAACAGGAATACATGCCACTCGGAGAAATTTTTCTCTTTTTGTATTGCGATTGAGAAACACAAAGGTCGTCAAAAACCCCAATATCAATTTCCATGCTTAAGCTGTTATAATTGTGATTTTGTTTCTTGTAATACAACAGAATTTGTTAAAAAGTTCCTGGAACAGAAATACAACTTGAATTTTAATTTTGGGTATGCATCAAACAGATCAAAAATCACATAAAGCAACAACACTTGCACAAACAAAATGCTCATTCATACCCAACCAGGGAAACCAGCAGAAAGAGAAATAATGAATGTCCTACCACACAATTCGCTAAATTATTATTATTATTCTCGTCTGAAGAACAAGAGAGTAGTATTTCAAACAGAAACCAGAATTGGAGTATAACTCTCAAAAAAAATTATTTTCTAAATTCTTCGGCATTCCTTTCATCCTCATCTCAATGAACGTCTTAGGCTACTTGAACAGGTGGTCTAAGGCCAATTATTCAAATCAATGTGTTATCTAGCTACATTACTGGACCTAACGGTTAGCATTACTGGTATACACTTGAAGCAGAATCAATAACTTCGCCTCTAACTAAAAGTGCCTTACTTTTCAAAATTCTAATCAAATTTCCCAAAACAAAAATTACAGCTTCAAAACCCTAGTAATCAAAAGCTACTCGATGGTTGATTGAACAGCTCGAATCGGTCATACACGAATGATATGAACTTCAAACAGAAATCAGAAAGTAGGAAATACTGACCTTGGCCGACGTAATATTGATCCGCTGGTTCCGATATCCTCTCACCGACGAATGAGTGAAGACTGTAGAAGTGGAATACACCAAAAAAGACGGGGGAGGGACCCGGAAGGGTTTTGGACAAAGTGTGTTATTTGCAGAAACCCATAGTTTTATCGAGTTAAACTACTCTTTGACCCCTATATTATGGATTAACTTCTACTACAACTTTTTAAACTTCCCCCCTTTTCTTTTTGTGAGTCTTGTACCGTTTTGGAATATTCTCAAGTTCGAAGGTACCGGTAACGAGAAGTATTTCGATCCGCTCTCATGTTTTTTTGATCGATAGGTATTAGTTATTATCAATAGGTACTAGTTATTGTCTGTCTAAAAACACATAATAATAAAAAAAAATATATTCATTCCATTACATACCATTTTATCCTTAACATCGTTCATTTCATTATCCTATTTGTGTAACACTTTTGCACAATGTTTTGTATAATACATGATATAACAATTTATACCCAAAAAATCCCAAATAATGTAAAAAATTCATATAAAAAATAAAGAATCTGATGTTATGAATTGGTGATACCGTAAAAAAAAAATTAGTGACATTATATGCTTAAACATAATACAAGAAAAAATTTTAAAATAATTTTTTAAAAAATTAAAAAAAAAACCGATAATACCGTACGCTTAAACATAATATAAGGAAAAAAATTCAAAATAATTTTTAAAAATAAAAAAAAATGATAACACCGTACGCTTAAACATAATAATACAAGAAAAAAATTCAAAATAATTTTTTTAAAAAAAAACTAAAAAAAAATTTGTGATACCGTAAACTTAAACATAGTACAAAGAAAAAATTTAAAATAAATTTTTTATATGTGAACTCTTAAAGAGAATGACATTTGTCTCATTTTACTTTCTTATACCGTCATTTCATTTGTACCAGAAAGATAATATCATTGGATAGGTGGTAGTCATTAATATCATATACCATCATTTACGATACTCTTCAAACCAAAAAATAATACCTGATGTAAAATGTCAAATAAACAAAGAATAAGACAGGTTTCACGTATTATTTTCTTCTATCCCACCCTATACTACCATCTAATCCTTAAAACAAACAAGCGGGGATATGTGTTTGATGGATTATGATGGGTATAAAGAGAAAGGCTCGAATATCCCAATAAAAATCATATTTGGTTAAACTTGTTAAGCTCTAAATTACACTCCCAATTCGTAGTTGGCCTGGAGGATTAAACCCATAAGCATGGGTGTCAGTAAATCCATAGGAGAAAATGTGTAGTTAAACAAATATAGGTATACATTGGATTGACTTGTAGGCATTTTAGTCAATTATATGAGAAATTTTTAGTTATAATTGTGATTAGTCCATAGGTCTCATGCATGTGAATTGTACTCACCAAATAAAGGATTGAAGATGATTTGTGTGTAAATCCCATACGCCAAAAGAGGGTTGGGTTTGAAAGAATTTGATAAAACCAATACAATCCTCCTACACCAAAACTATTCAAACATGGCTTTAGAGAATTACATGTTTCCCAATAAACTTTCTTCAATTCTCATAATTAGGTTTCTGAGCAATACTACATGGACTTAAAATACTAATTTGATTTATTGACTTGATTAATTATCATTGATTTAACTGTAAATTATTTTATTTTATTAGGACTCACTACCTATTCAATGGTTATAATTAATTAATTCAATATTTAAAGTCCAAATAATATTTTTCTTAAGTTATCTCTAACCTTTGACTTAAACTTTTACTTAAATTTGATTTAAAAATTTTAATTTTATACAAAAACTCAATTTTAAAGGAAGACATGTTCAAATTTAAATGATAATAAAATATAATCATTGAATCTTTAAAGGAATGTAAATTTGACTATTGAAAATTTAATTAAAGATTCGAATCTCCCTTTATTTGAGTAAAAAATTAATTCTTCATTCATTTGGTATAAATTTGAGTAAATGACTAGAACTTATTTATATTCAAATTTAAATTTGAGTAAATGTTATAGATGTCCTAAAATCGGCTATTATGGATTTAGTTAAAATCCAATTTTCTTCAATTGGGTCAACTATGAATATTGAGAAAAATTAAATAAGAGTTTATTGATTCGGATCCAAATATAATTATAATGTTGCAAAAACTTTTGCACTTGAGAGTTCTTCTAGTCATGAACTCGAATCAATCTATTCTCTCAAAGAGGAGAGAGGGGATCCCAATAAACAGGAAGTAATTTTACCACAAGGTGAAATGGGCCTCAACCATGTGGCCATCTACTTATTCTCTGCTAGATGTTTACCCATTCATATATGAATTATTGGATAACCACAACTTTCAAGAATGAATTTGAGACTTTTGTGTTGGGTTGAATATAAATTGTGATTAAAAGGATGGAGGGTGGGGTCACTAAAGTGACTAGGATGAGTCTTTCTACACAACTGGATCCCTGGCTCCAAACGAAGTTGCATGGGGTTATAACCACATCCTCTCTTGATAGACTCAAAGCTCTTCATAGTGAAGCAAGGTAGAACATCCTCTCTCGAAAAAGAGATAGAACAGAGATGACAGAGGAAGTTATTCAGTTCAAAAAAATATATGGCTGTCAAAATAGCTTTCGTCCAAAATTGACTAAGAACATGAGCAAGCTACATAAATTAACAAATGTTTTCGTTTAAAAAAAAATAACAAAGATGTTGTGAAAGTAAGATAATTATATAAACTACAAAGAGAATATATATGTGGAAGAGGAAGAACTTTGTGTATTTCTTAATGTGGTGAATACCTCCTTTTATAAGTCTCAAATCATAATAGTCATCAAATACAATATTAACTATAAATAGAGTTATAGAGTCAAATACTGACACCAATTAAATTGGTTAGTTAGAGTTTATCCATATCTATGTACATATATATTTACAACACTTCCTCTTGGATGACTACTATACTAAGATAATATGTCTTGTTAAAACCTTACTAGAAAAATCATGTGGAAAAAAAAACCTAGTGAAAGAAAAAAAATACATATTCAGATGAATCTTAGAATAGCAATGAATGCACTAATGTTGCCTCATTAAAACATTGTTAGGAAAACCCAATGGGACAAAATCTAGACGAAGGAAGAAGAGTACAACGTGCATATGTCTTGTATCTTGATGTAGATACTCCCCTTGATGAAAATCTTCTTTTAATTAGAAATCAATTGAATTTTTCACAAACTCACCGCATTCCAATGCCATATACCAATTTCTTGAACGTTGATAATGGTAAAATTTTAGTGAATAGATTTGCAAAATTGTCACTAGATCATATTTATTTTACTTCAATTTCATGACTTTGTTGGAGTTCATGAGTATAGAAAACCTTTGGTGAAATATACTTGGTTCTATCACCTTTGATAAATTCTCCTTTAATTTGTGCAATTCAAGTTGCATTATCTTCATATAAGGTTGTTGGTGAATTTGTAATCAAAGGAAGCTTGCAAGGATCTCAGATGTGATGGACTACGGACCTTAGCCACACACATTCACGACTCACTTTATGGAGTGCAAGTATCTCAGAATGATTGAAAGATATAACAATCAAAGTCTGCTTCGTAGATCGCCATGAGATTGTTGTGTCACCACATGTGAAAACATACACAGTTTGTGAACGAGCCTTGTAGAGATCTGATAGGTATATAGAATATATATCCGACTAACTATGGACCATTAGATGATTGCATTAAATATAACAAACACAAATCTGTAGTTGCACGAATATAGCATAGGACATGTTTTGCGCCATTCCAATTTTGTCTAGTTAGTGCAAAACTAAATCTTGTCAATAAGTTGATTGCAAATGTTATATCAGATCTAGTACATTGTGCTAAATATAAAAAAGTATCAATTACACTTAGGTATGATACTTCAGGATCAATAAGCATTTTATTTTCCTCCTTAGGACGAAAAGGGTCCTTATTGACATCAAGAGATCAAACAACCTTTGGAGTACTTAAAGAAAATGTTTTATCCATGTTAAACCACTTCAGGACCTTTTCGAAATAGATTGTTTGATGAATAAAAATTTCGTTTAACGTATGCTTGATCTGCAGGTCAAGACAATATTTTATTTTTTCAAGATCTTTCATCTTAAATTCTTTTTTTCAAATATTTGATAACTTTTATCACTCTTCAGGAGTTCCAATCAGATTCATATCATCAACATATACTGCAATGATGAAAAATTCAGATTCTGATAAATATACATGAGCATATGGAATTATTAACATATCCTTCCTTTACTAAGTACTCGTTGAGAGGGTTATACCACATTTTCCTTAAGTTGTATGTAGTTGTCTTTCAAGAGCTGAATCTTTTGAACCAATGTGTCGATCATGCTTCAGGCGTGTAAGAAAAATCACATTGTTCTTTAGGGGACAAATTTCCTCCCCCTAACTAGCAGAAAAAGTGTCTAATTTTTTTTTTTTTTTAAGTACATAACCTCTTGAGATCTCATTATTTTTACGTACCTTTATCTTTGTAGGAGATATCTCTTCAGAAGATTTTTCTTTAGGAGATTTTAGTTCACTAATTTTGAACTGACCAATATTTCTGTTGACTACTTTGTAAGTGTGGCCTCTTCAGAGGTGCCAACTTTTTTATGCAATTTTCATTTTATATTTTTCTTTGGTATCTTCGATAGTACAAATTTCTTTTATGAATGTCTGGTAAAGGTTCACCAAATGTTTGGACACACAACAAGTATGTGACCAATATCCTTTTATACCACACTTCTAACAAACTTTTGCATAGATCTTGGGCAGTTTATTTAGCAAACCCTTCCCTTTATATTGCTTTGCATATTTGTTTGCTCAATTTTGGTGGTAGGTGAAGTGTTATGATCATGGTGTCGATTATCATTTCAACCACGCCCACGTTTATTACCATGACCATGGTATGATGTGTCATTCGCTTCAGGAAATGTTGTAGAACCAGTCGATCGAGATTTATGATTTTTTATCAAAATTTTGTTATTTTGTTCACCCACAAGAAGACATGATATCAGGTCAGGGAATTCAATGAACATGCACTCTCTATATTGCCATTGTAGGGGCATATTAGAGATGTGAAGAG